TCAAAGGAAATCATTAAATCCTGACTTCTTTTCTTCAGGCTTCAGAAAATCTGGCATTTTACCAACTAATTAAATTTATCGATTGATTTTGTAGCTCTGTTTAAAACAACAGGAACAAAATTTACACAGACCTCATCTGTAATCTATAAAATCTCAAAGTTAAATATAAATGGGTATATCAGATATCTGCACCCTTAAGACATTTGTTAAGAGTGTAGAAATAGTTCTGTCATTTTATAGACAAATCAATGAGAAGCAACAGTGCAGCCCTGTGTTTGGACTGAGGGTTAGTGTGCACTACAGAGATGTAAATAATATTAAATTAACAGATAAAACCAAAACACTGATTAATGTCCACAGGATAATGTGCAGTGACGTGATGTGAGACTGTCAGTGCATTGACAAATGCATGACGTTCAGAGAAGTTCAGGTTGAATAGTGCAAACAATCACGCACACGTCTCCGCTGAATCGAAATAGCAGAAGAAACAGTGTCTAGATTTTTCTTTTTGTTGTTCACGTAGCAGGTTTTTTAAGCCACATTTGAAATGTTTATTTTAAAGAGTTATTCACGCGAGAGTACTTTATTTAAACAACTAATAACGCTAACAACATGGTAAGGCTCCTTTTAAGGAGGACCTATTCTGCCTTCCCTGAGGTCTCGTAACAAACCAAAGTATTAAACATGTCGAAGTAAAACATGGAAGCCAAAAAATATTTAGAAATTAGTAAAATTATATATAAAAAAATATTTTGTTTCTATTTTCACAATAAAATTGGCCAATCACACGGAAGTGGCTGTACAAAGGAACAGCGTAGGATCGGTAAAAGAAAACTATAAATCACGCTACGCTACGTTAGCTGAGTCCCCGAATAAAGACCAAGAGCTGGAAATGAGCAGAATAGGTCTCCTTTCAGAATCACACCGAAGAAATGTAAAGTTTTTAAAATAAAAGATTATATGATGTAAAAATAATAAAATGGTCACTGCTCTCTGCGGACAAACTGCAGAACAGTGTTTTCACACCTTATTTGTTGTCATTTATGGGCCGATCTACAGTATGTGCTGATGTGTCAGATTAACTTAATGTTTTCAGTTTGTGCATCAAAACTCATCCAAAGACTGTTTATGAGATGAAGAAGCTTCACTCTGTAACAAAGCTGTTTTATTTTAGACCAATGAATGAAAACTATTTGGTGTCCAGACCCGAAGATGAAGGGTTTTTTTGTAAATGTCAAACTTTGGACTGTTGAAACGATATTTTAAAAACATAACCGTGAGCCGAGGAAAGTTGTTTCATTTTCATAGACAAAACGATTAATCCAAAGCATTTTTCAGCAGGTTGTTAATCAACAATAAAAACAGCCGTTAGCTGGATGAGCTTCTTTTGACAGAGTGAAACTTCATCCTCCTCCAGCTGCTCGTGTTTCAGGACAGTTAAACTTGATGTCAGATCAATATTTGAGCTGATCAGGGTCACAGCTTTATAGAGGGAAAGGGAATATGAAGCAGGGTGTAAATATCAGATTTAAAAGCACCTGTTTTGTTTCAAAGATCAACAGTAACCCTTCCCTGTAACAGGCGTTTCTGATTTCACTGTTTGTTTGTTTTTTAAGCTAAATAACGTCTGGAAACAGCTGGACTATTAATGACTAACCTCAGAGTAAATTTAAGAATATTTTCAAATATGACTTCAAATACAGATTAACCGGTTATTGCCATTACATCGATTACTGGCCAGTAATTTGTAAGTAGCAAATCAGACTTTATTTTCTATTCAAAGCTCTCGCATTGAATCTATTAAATAACAGGCTTGCTGCTGCATAGAGGGGACAATAACCACTTAACCCTTTCTGATGCCAGAAATCACATTTGCAACACTAATGCAAACGTTACATATGTGCTGACTTCACTGACCTTGATTTGCAACGTAAAAATGAAAAAAAGAAGTAAAAATTGAAAAAAGTATTTTTAATGCATGCCCTGTGAGGGGTTAAGCATCAGTTCACAAATACTCAGGATTCAGAGCCTCACTGAGGTCACGACAGAACATCCCTTTTTATGCTGAGGACAGTTCACTTCAAAAATCAGTTTTACAGATTTTCTTTCCTTTGAGCTGTTCATCCTTCCAGATGTCTTTGTTGTAAATTGCACAGTTTTGCAGTTTCATATAGGAACTGCAGGATTTAGAAATCCAACTGCATCACTGTGCAGAAGGAAGAATGGCTCTGTCCATTAGAGATGCAAGTCTTAAAATATATGGCCAACTGAAATCAAGACTGTAAATTTAATAATATTTATTGCTTTGATGTGCTAAAAAAATACTTTGAAGTTATAAACCACACAAAAATAAATAAACCAACACCTCATCCATCGATCCATTGCATCTCTTGCATCATTTTAATGTCTGTTTCTATGTTCCATCCACAGCCTTAGCAGTTAAACTACAAACACCACAAACCCCTGTGCTACCCTTTAGCCCCACCCTTCTGCCTCCTGTCTTTTAGGGCATTAGGATGTTTGTCTTCTATGCATTTTCTAAGACTGTGTCCTAGCGACTGATTCCCTGATTGGTGCGAGCAGCGCCTAATCACAGGATCGCAGAGTCTGGACTAATGATTCTAACAAAGGATCTGATCATTCAGGTTCTGGTCCAGGGACAACCAGGAAGAGCCAAGGTCACGCTGGACTGAACAGTTTTACCATCAGACCTGCTCCCAGGCAGCAGGCTGGAGGAACGCCACTCAGCTGTTTGCTTAATGCAGTTTTTATCTTCAGCAATTGGCTGTAAACACGCAGAAGTGACTGAAGCAGCTGATCTGATCCGTCAGTGATCGCTCGGTGTCTTTAGATCCAGTCTGACTTTAAAACTCTGAGCTGGACCAACATCAGCTCAGGTAGGCCAAGCTAACTGTCTGCAGCCTTGTTCAATAAACAAGCTCATGTGAAATGAACTGATCATTTGGGAAAATATCTTTATTTGCTTTCTGTTCTCAGGTCAGTGCCGGATAAAGTCGCTTATCCTGACAGCTGAAGCACAGGATAGCAGGCTGAGGATACTGAGGCATGCATGACAAATAAAACATTCAAATTTAAAGCAACATTTTATTGATAATCATGAGAAAACAAGCAACCTCTATGGCCACAAGAGTTACTAGAACAAACTTCATAATTTCTTTTCTCTTTAATAACCAGTAACTGAACTTTCCACCAGAGTGTGCAGGCAAAGTCAGCAAGTGGTGGGACCAGAGGCCATAGAAGGTCGCTAACCTGTGGTGATAGGTAAAACAGCTGGGTACTAGGCACAGGTGTGATTTTTTAATCATTCAAAGACTCATTGTGTAGATATAGAAACTGTATTTAGACACGTGTGAAGCTAACATGCTACAAGTCTGCCACAACTATCAGTTTCAGGTGGAGGGCAATCTTTGAAGAGTACAGCCTTTTACCGTGACTATAGAGCTGATATTAAACCAAGATGAGAAATGAGTAAAAATCCATATTTGATTATTTGTTCAAATAAGGCCTCGTTCACATGAGCATAGAGTAAAGCTTTATATTCAAACACTTGCTAACTCTCCTCCGAGCAGTAGTGAAATTCTGATCCTCTTTCACGAGCCTCTCTAGCACACCGTCCAGGAATCTGCTAATAACAGCAATGTAAAAAAAAAAATGCTCGTGATTTTAGTGGTCGGATGGCGTCCACGCTGACTCAAACTGCAGAAACTGTGTTTGTGAAGTCTCTATTCTAGCATTCCTCCTACAAACAAGCAAAGCTCACTGGCAAAAAGAAATGTGTTCATTTGCATATTAAAAATATAACTCACAGGCAGATATAACAGTTAAGTATGCAATAGTAACTTTATAACAATATGTAGTGGCAATTCCTTTTGTTTGACAAACCAAACATCCCACAATTAAAAGTCCACAAGCCACTGCTGCACTGAGATACTATTTCGTACGCAGGCAAAAGAAGTCCACTGTCCAAACTTGAAAGTTGCGTTTTTATGGTTTATTTATCCAGTTTGGCAAGCAATAACAAGATCCATCTTTTTTGTTACTTCCTGCTGCTTCTCCTGCTCTGGTAAAAAACCATAGGCCCACCCCAGTGCATGCTGGTCCTATACCAGTCTCTTTATTTATAGAAACAAAATGGCCTTACTGACTAATTTAACAAAGTAACAAATTTAACAGAGTAACATCTAACAAACATTGAAACAAAATATGAACCGACAAATAAACTTGCAAATAAATCCCAAAATATAAGTAAACTAACAACAAACTTTAACTAATTTCAAAATAATAAAAAATAAGAACAAATAGCTCCAACACAATATTTTCAAAAAGCCTGGGTCTCTAAGGTGTTGGGCAACACCAATTTAACATGTTAATATTTAGCATTGCTGCAGCTCTTCTTTCCTCCTCCTGCAGCAGCTGCGTAATTTAATCACTTATCTGGATCTTTTCAACATGTGCTGTTGGTGTTTTTTTCCACAAAAATAATCTGACTTGCAGTGTGCTAAAGATCATCCAAGAAGTTATTTCCTCAATTTTACAAAAACATTGGCGGCATCAAATAATAATGTAGAGTCTTCAAGACAAATAGCAAAAGAAAAAGGATGTTTTCTGATAATCAGATGAATAAAACTCAAATTACAAGCTGTTAGGTTTAAAAATTGTCTTCACTCATTCTCATTGCCATTAAATATTGAAAGTTTTACTATTTTTTTTTATATCTATTAAGACCAAGTCTAGCTCATTACTGAAAAAGAAAACCCCTTTCACACTGTATGTTTTCAAACGCCTTAAAAACAGCATTAAATTATTATTTGTTTTACTGGGTCTAATATGATATTCAGTGGTTGAAAACAGTTACGTCTGCAGTGGCTCACAGATGCAGAGTGAACATTATTTATTTGGTACGATTACTGATGGTTATGTAGCTGGTTAATGTTTTAATACATGAAGAGAGATCAACAACGCAAACAGAACACAGACAGTAACAGATAAAAACCATTTTATTTATTTTCACTGTCTTCAAGTTATTAACAAAGAAATCGAAGGAATCCAATCTGCCAAATTTAACAGGTATTCAAGCAATCATGCAGCACTCTTTGAAATGACATGTTGACAAAATATCACAATAGATAAATGTTAGAATAAAAATTAGAGAGTTAATTTAACTTATAGGACCTAAAAGGTCTTGATGCATTTTTCCTCTCACGATGGTTTGGAGTTAAAGGATGTGGAAAAGGGTCTGGTTTTATAACTTCCTGTGTGTGTTCTGGCGTGGCAGGATATGATGTAAGGGATAAGTGTTGATGCCAGTGAATAACGGACTTTAATGTGTCAGTAATGTCAGTATCAGCAACCTCAACCAAACAACAAAACAATAAAACAGTTTATACAATGAATGAAGTGAATTTGTGCTTCACTTAAGTAATATCACAGGGTGTTCATCTCATCACCATTAAAAAAAATGTTGCATTTCATTAGGTTTTTGTGGTATTTAAACTTGTGATTTAACGGCCTTTTATGTGGCAGAGATAAAGGAGACATTTATCTCCGCCACATAAAGACACCATGTGCAGCACAAACATTTTGAACCCACAGCAGAGCAGCAGACATGCCAAAGACTTGGAGGACCAGATGAACCTGGGGCTAACGTCTCAGTGCAGAGTAGAAGAAGATCACTGAAACCCTGAAACCTCACAGTGTCAGTTCTTGATCCAGCTCTCAGTAAAACAGCCGAGTTACAGTATCTACGCTACGGATGGGAATCGATAAGAATTTTATGATTCTGATTCCTTATCGATTTTCATTGGCTCCGTTTTAAGAGTCACCACCGTCACTAAGCAGCAAGAAGAAATGCAAATCCAGCATGCAAATTAATTGCATGCTGGAGTCAAACGTCTGTGCGTGTTTGAGGTATTTGCCCTCGTTGTTGTAGTCAGTGTTTAATATTACACAGAATACACAGAATGCTTTTCTTAAAAGTAATGCAGTATGTTACTTAATTAGCTCTGGGAACAAGTAAAATAGCTGAAACACTCTGTCTCATAATCACCATTTAACTACAGCCCCATGCACCAGTGCAAATCCCTTATAAGGACACAGACAGGTGGACTAACAATTCCAAGGAACTGGAATACTGGGAACCGGTTTTCTACAGGAACTGACAACCTGCTGCTGCTCCAACCTCAGTGGATCCTCACAGCTCGTCCAGTCGTCGTCCTGTTTGCTCTCATTGTTACACAGATTATCACTCCAACCTGTAGAGACAAGAAACAGGTGTATTAAATAAGTCACTTCATCTAGCCTGTTCACAGCTGCAGTGGAGGCGTGGCCTATCTTAGCCTATCTTAGCTTCTCTGAGCTTTCATCTCAACATGTACAGTCACTAACCTACATGTTTGAACATCGAGTCTATTGTTCCACAGTGGAAGTGAACTGTGAAGAGTCATAAATGATCACGAACATCTTTTTAAAAAATGTATTTACTGCTGTTCAGTTTAACACAAACATCTTTGTGGCAGCTTTCTGTAATATCACCTGGCTAGTAAACATGGAAGCAGCCATGAAAAACACAGCTAAGTTAGCTATGAAATATAGAAATATAGATGTGAATGTTATCTCAGATGTGTACTGCATATATTTGTATATTTGTTTGGAATTATTTCTATTGCAGTACAATACTGCTGAATGCAACACAGAGTGACTCCAGCTCTTTACTGACCTCAGGATCTCCAGTCTATAGTCAGGACTTTCCTTAAGATCCAACAGCTGCTTCACATCTGGATCCCGTAGGTTGTTTTGGCTCAGATCGAGCTCCCTCAGATGGGAGTCGTTGGTCTTTAAAGCTGAGACCAAAAAAGTACAGCTGATCGCTGACACACTGCAGCCCCTCAATCTGAGAAATGAATGAAACATTTAAGTTTAGACAGATTTTAAAATTATAACCTGTTTAATAATCTGAAGCTAAAGACGGTATAGGATGTAAAAGGTTAGGAAACAGAGACTTCAAACACCTCAAACCAACAAGATATTTTATTCAGCAGAAAAACTCATAAAAAGTAGTTTAATATAACTGATAGATTCAATAAAGACACAATCAAACGAATCCTGTGCATCAGACAAGTCAAAAATTTATCCTTTCAGCCCAAGTTCATCAAGCCATAAACATGAAAATATATTTGATTGTCATGTGTCATTAATGATCCAAAAATGAGTCCATCACAGTCCTCTTGTTCTTTTGTTTTCTTATTCTCTTTGTTTCCTTGTTTCCTTGCTCACTTTTTGTTTACATGTGTCAGGAGTGGTCCTCCTTTGTGCCCACTCTCCATGTGAACTACAGGTTAACCTCGCACCAAAGCCTTAATTTAGTCACCTGATGATTGCTTTAAGTTCAATTCATTGCTCTTATCATGATAAAGTCTCACTCAGCAAGTTATCCCTGTGACTTTCTATTCCATCTTTCCTTGGTGGAGACTCTTCCCAGCCTGCAGAGATCTCTCTCTGTAACCCAAGGAAATCAGCACTCCCTCCAGTTTTTAGCTGCTCCTCTCAAAAAAAATTGAGCGCATGTTTAAATCAAAAATGGGATTGATTACTTAAATAGCAAAGCTGAAAATCTTTACTGATATACATTATGTTGTTTGTTAAAAACAAAATCAACAAATCTTTGACAGCTGGATTCAAAATCACACCAGAAATCAAAGTTACGATTATTCAAGCGTTTCTTACTTCGTCACAAAGTAGTTGTCTGCAACTGCTTCCATTTTTGAATCGATATAATTAGCTGCCCTTTGACTGGGCTTCTCACTACAGGGCTGGACCTCATATAGGCACAAATTAAAAAGTTGTTCATCTGTTTCAGGTTGTTGTTAGCATAGCACTGCAGCCTGCAGCCAACCCACATAAAGTGGTACACTCTGAGGCTGACCTCAAAGAAAGTGAGTTTAATAATGTTGCTTCACAGTTTGTAACATTTTATAGACTAAACTAGTTAAATTAGAGCATATTTATAAAATAATTACATTATTTAATGACTTAGCTGTCACCTTGGTTTTAATTCTAATATAAAAAAAAATTCCGATTGTGCTTAATCTACTTGTTTTTTTTAGGTTTTCAGTGTGTTGTGCAACATTGCATCCTGCAGTTATTAGACTGAAGCAATAAGGAAGAAAGCATTAGCATTAAATCCTCTGCAGGCTGCCAGCCTATACATTAAACCTTTATATTTATATGACCACACAACCAAAACATTTTTGCCTGACCTGAGCACTTCCAATCTGCAGCCTGGACTCTCCAGATAACCACACATGTCCTTCACTCCTGAATCTTGCAGTGTGTTGGCACTCAGGTCCAAATCTCTCAGATAGTCGGGGTTGGACTTAAGAGCTGAGACCAGAGAAGCACAGCTGGCCTTTGACAACCTACAACCCTTCAATCTGAATAAAGAATTTAAAAAAGGCAGATTCAGATCCAGTCATTTATAAAAATACAGCAAATATAATGTATATTAGTTTTAAATTTGCACCTATACTATAAATTATGTACTAATATACAAATCATTGCAAATTACAGTTGGGCCTGTGCTTTGTTCAACAAAGACATCATTTTTGTAGTTTTCCCTTTGTACACCACTGCAGTGGATCAAACAACTAATATGTGATTGAAGTGTGAACTTTCAGCTTTAATTCAGGGGGTTTAGGAATTACAGCTGTTTTATTAAATAGTCCCTCATTGTCAATATGATTCCTGCTGTCGACGCTGATCATAAATGTGCAGACTTACAAAAATCATGCACGTCTACCAAAAGTTACAGAGTACTGAGAACTAAACTTTATTTTTCTGTGCTTTGACTGCAGTTCAACACAGAAACACTGTACAAGCACAAATACACCAACTTGCTCTGTGACTCAGACGTCTGAATCCTCAAATTAGTTTAACATCAATATTATGCTGTCAGCTGTATCCAATCATCTGATAATGGAGCCTGTTTATAACAGGGTTACTTCACAGCTCAACAAAAGAAATATCTTAACACTTCAAACTACAATGCTCAATTTGAAGAGAGGAAAAAAGCAAGTATTACTCAGTAAACTGACCTCAGAGTCTCCAGTCTGCAATTTGGATTCTTTAGTCCGGCAGAGAGCAGCTTCACTTCGGAATCCTGCAGCTTGTTAAAGCTCAGGTTCAGCTCAGTCAGATGGGAGGGGTTGGACTTCAGAGCTGAGGCTACAACTTCACAGTGAGCTTCTGAGAGCTCACAGCTAGAAAGTCTGTAAAAAAAAAAGAAGCACATTTTACAAAACATAGTGTTATGAAGTGTCATGATGCATGCTCAATCGTCCAAGTAAGGAAATCCCATAAATTTGATTCTGTTTATCTGAATGTAGCATTTTCAGTGAGAGAAACGTCTCTTGGAGATTGAAGAAGTCACTTGTCACGTTACTTCCACTGAAAACGTTACGTCGAGATGAACAGAATCAACCTTTTGGGATATTGTTATGAAAGTAGACATTTATTTCGTTTTTCGTCATCTAATCTTTAGATTTTCTAATAACTTTTATTGAGTCAACAGAAGCTGACAAGAACTAGCAACACAAGGCAACAGCATTTGTTTGCACTGATTGCACCTAACAGAACCTAAAATATGTTAGCAGGAGTTTTAAGTTTAAGTTTCAAACCATTTTCTAATGAAAATGTGGAAGTTTACTGTCCATTCTGACCAAAGTATGAAGAGTTTCCTCACAGAAACTCCAACTCATCTTTCTGTTGAATTCTCAATCACAGCAAAATCTGAAATCTTATCTCATCTTAATTTTGCCCTTTGGCTCGAAGCTGCTAACCTGAACCAAGTTTATAATGTTAGTCACAGGCAGACTTACTGAGCCTTTCTGCAATTTCTCACAGCTGGGATGAGTCTCTGTTTGCCCTCCAGTGTGGTGTTATATTCACCCAGGTCCAGTTCATTCACAACCTCTTCTGACATTTGGAGAATGTAGGCCAGACCTGAGCAGTGGATAACAGAAAGTCTCTGTGATCTCCTTCCTGACTTCTGGAACTCTTGGACCTCCTGATGTACTGAGAGGTCATTCATCTCCATCAGACAGTGGAAAATGTTGAGACTTCTGTCAGGGGATATTTTTTGGGTGTTTATCTCCTTCAAGTTGCTGATGGCTTTCTGGATGCTATCTGGATTACTCTCTCTCTGACCTAGCAGGTCTCTTAAAAGTCTCCGGTTGGACGACAGACAAAGGCCATGAAGAAAGCGGACAAAAAGGTCCAGGTGACCATTTTTACTTTTGAGAGATTTCTCCATAACTTTGCTCAGAAAGTCATCTAAAAATAGCACATGGGTAGTTTTATTTCCAAAATTCCTAGACATCCTAGAAAACTTAGGAATTAGGAAATCCTCCAGGATCTTGCTCTGTCTACTGGTGAAACAGTGGAACATGTAAACAGCAGCCAGAAACTCCTGAATGCTCAGATGAACAAAGCAGTAGATTGGTTTCTGGAAGATCACACACTCTCTTTTGAAAATCTCTGTACAAAGTCCCGAGTACACCGAGGCCTCTGTGACATCCAGACCACACTGCTCCAGGTCTTCTTGGTAGAACATGATGTTTCCTTTGTCCAGATGTTCAAATGCCAGCCTCCCAAGCTTAAGAAGATCTTCAGGAGTAGAAGCCTTATGGTACTTCTGAATCTTCCTCTTGGTCTGATCCAGCAGGAAGTGTGAGTACATGTCGGTCATGGTCTTGGGCAGCTCTTCTCTCTGCCCTCCAGTTAACATGTGCTCCAGAACTGTAGCAGTGATCCAACAGAAGACTGGGATTCCACACATGATGTGGAGGCTCCTGGATGATTCTATGTGGGAAAATATTTTGCTGGACAGCTCTTTATTACTGAATCTCTTCTTAAAGTACTCCTCTTTCTGAGCATCAGTGAAACCTCGCACTTCGGTGACACGGTCAACACATGTAGGAGGGATCTGATTGACTGCTGCTGGTCTGGAAGTTATCCAGATGAGAGCCGAAGGAAGCAGATTGCCTTCAATGAGGTTTGTCAGCAGATTTGTGACCGTTGACTTCTGTGTGACATCAGACATGACGCTCCTCTTAGTGAAATCCAATGAAAGTCTGCTTTCATCCAGACCATCAAATATAAACAAAAGTTTACAGACAGCGAGCTTCTCTGCTGTGACCTTCTGTAATGTTGGATGGAAAACCTGGAGCAGCTCCAGGAGACTATACTGCCCATCTCTGATCAGGTTCAGCTCCCTGAATGAAAGCAGAACCACCACACTGACATCTTGGTTCTCCAAACCCTCTGCCCAGTCCAGAGTGAACTTCTGCACTGAGAAGGTTTTTCCAACGCCAGCAACACCGTAGGTCAGAACCACTCTGATCACTTTGTCAGATAAGGCTTTAAAGATGTCATGACACTTGATTGGAATTTCATGGAGGGTCTTCGTCTTGGAACCTGTCTCCAGCTGCCTCACTTCATGTTGAGTATTAACGTCTTCACTCTGTCCCTCTGTGATGTAAAGGTTTATGTAGATTCTGTTCAGGAGAGTTCTTCTTCCTGTTTCTTCAGATCCTTCAGTTACAGTTTCACATCTCTTCCTTAGACTGATCTTATGTTCATCTAAAAGCTCCTGCAGACCAGCAACTGCTAGAAGACAAAAAAGAAAGACAGAAATAAAATTAATGAAACTTTAATATCAGCATATAATCATCTGGAATCTTCCCCTATATCTTATAAAGCATAATGTTACTTTGCACAGTGCTGCTCTGACCAGCTATATGTCGTCCAAACTTGGCTGTGGCTGTTTCTCCACAGTGGGAAACAGGATCCTTTGTCTTCTCTCTGTGCATAGAAAAGAAAATGTATATTGACCAGTACACATACAATACAATACAACTTTATTTATATAGCACATTTAAAACCAAAGGTACACCAAAGTGCTTCACAACAAGGTTAAAACATAAGATAAAAGACTATAAAAGAGAACAAAGGTGCAGACAGAATAAGAAGTAAAACATTATAGCATGGTTTAGAAGATAAAATTACAGGGTATTCATTAATATAAGGTGGGGGTATTTATTCAGTGGGAGATTAGTAGGAAGATAAGTAACACAAGGGTAAAATATAGGGGGAAGTGCACTAACTAACTGAAAACGCTCGGTCAAACAGGTACGTTACATACATTAAAATAATAGTCTAATGCAAACAAATAATTATAGAAAAATATATATTCTTTGGTGTATAAACGCTAGGGTTGGGCGATACGTGAAAAAATATGTAAAAATTTTCCAACCGACAATCGTCAGTCCAACAATCCCTGATGGGCGATATAGGCGCACATGCACAGACTTTATGATCAGCGGGGCAATCATGCACGGACTAATTTGCAAGTTTACAACACAAATTACTTTACCATGGAAGAAGATATTAAATTTAAAAAAAGAAAGAAAGAAAAAAGAAAAAATACAACTGCATTAAAATGATATTTTGTGATGCCATTGTTTTGGCAGACACTGGTTTAGGCAGAAATCTCTGACTTCATTTGCCTCGCCCCATGTTAGGTATGAACCGCCTCACTCTGTAGACCAGCCAGTTCAGGATACTTTCTTACTTTGTGTCCGATTGTCCAGGTTCATTATTAAACGATATAGGAACAATTTTGGAAGAGTCACTCCTCATAGACAGACACTCTGATCCTGGAGACGCTGGGCTGCATCTGCGCTGCTGACCTCTGGGAACACAAACATATAATATTTAGCACATTGTTCATCTGCATCTTAATGTTGTTGGAAATAAGTCACTTATTATGAATACAGGACTGAGGTTCTGGAGGTTTTTGGTAAAAGCAGAAACATTCACTGTCCCAGGGTCTCAGTTTGGATTTTATTTATATCACTACCACAATGAGTGTCCAATGAGACTTTTGCCAGTCATACAGGAGTACGGACTCTGCTGTCAGCAGTGAAAAGGAGTTGGTGAACTATTTGTCTTGGGTGGGGAACCATATCTATTTGTGTTTCTCCAGTTTTCTGCAACAGTTACGTTAACTGCTTATTTGAACTTGGTCACAGGTATGTTGTTGGGCACTACCACCTAAATTTTGTGTAACGATTCGGTGTTCAGGGCTGAAACTCTGCAGGTTTCCTGTGTCAGCTACACAGGAATAGGCACTATTTGCAGTCATTAAATTAGCATGGTTAAACTGTTTGCGTTGGGTGATTAGCTACATTTTACATCACACCCGAGCATAGTTGAGGCCTGAAGCCTGTTTTATTTGTGTTTGTAATCTTAATATGTCTTTTGGCCACAGTTATGGATGTGAGAGACTTTGATGAAAGCTTTGGGACACAAAGATGAGGAAGGTCAGTCACTGCTCTACAATAACTATATTCCAACCTTACCTATGTAACATATTACTCAGGAACATATTCTACCTTCCATAGGTACATACTGTCATGGTCGCTGGATCTTGGACACAGGTTTGAATTTTGTGATGTTGGGGGTTTTATAGTTCTGTAGCTTTGGTTATGTTTAGGTTATGATGTCAGATTTAGTTTGTGCTTTATTCCTTGCTTCTCTGTTTATTCCTGCCTCCTTCGTCTTTCTGTGCTTTACTTGGTCTTCTTTTGTGCTTGGCATCAGGTTAATCTTGTCTCGCTGTTCAGTTGAGGCTCTCTTCCTGTTTTATTTTGGTGACTGTTCTTCTTTGTATCCTGTGTCTAATTTCCTTCCAGGTAATTATGATAGTTTACTGCTGCTGCGTTCCCACCTGTTGCCTTTTCCTTCATCAACCTGCGTGTCTCTGTATCCCCTCATATGTTGTTGTGTTCTCCATCATGAGTGTGGCCTATTTCATAATGTGTTTTTGAAATATCTGACACATAAAAACACAAGAAGTCCTTCATGTTTTCATGTTACAGCTTTTCTGTTCAAATAGGTTTCTGATTTTGAAAATCACTGAAGTTTTTCTATGTTAGTGTCGTCCTAACAAACCATCTTTGTGTCATTTTAGAGGAGAAATAGTCTCTTACTTTGTGTTTGAGACTTCAGGTTCATTTCTGAAGTGCATAGGCTCGTCTTTGGAAAAGTTAGACAGAGAGTCGAATCCTGAAGTCTCTGTTCCTTTTCTGGGAACACAGACATATAATATTTAGCACATTGTTAATTTGCATCTTCATGTTGTTGGAAATACGTCACTTATTATGAGTACAGGACTGAGGTTCTGGAGGTTTTCAGTAAAATCAGAAACATTCACTGTCACAGGGTCTCAGTTTGGATTTTATTTATATCTCTGCCACAATAAGCTGATCTTACAGATATGGAAGCATGTCTGTTCTGCCTGCTAAGGGAATTTTCTTCAGCTCATTTTACAGCAGAAACATTTTCTTACTTTGTGTTTGAAGGTCCAGGTTCATTACTGAAGAATGGAGGATCATCTTTGGAGATGTTACTGTTCACTGACAGACACTCTGATCCTACAGACGCTGTTCTGCGCCTGGGCTGCTGATCTCTGGGAACACAAACATATAATATGTAACACATCATTCATGTTGATGGGATCTGTCTTGGTGCCAGGGTCACTGACCCAGGGTTTGGGGTTTTGGGGATGTTTCTTGTCTTCAGCATCTCCTGTGGAAGTCAGTCTCCACGTTTATTTACCTCTCTGTCTCACCAGCTGTGTCCCTTTCCAAAGATCCACATCCTAAATGGTCATTCTAAACTGGTGAGAATGTAAGCAAATTTAGCTGTATAAGCAGCTAATAAAAGAACTAATTAGTGCAATATGCATTTTTCCAACAAGAATCAGTTTGTCTGTGGCCCACAATCTTGGTGAACAGTTTATATTGTCCATCTATTACTCAGGCAGTCCTCCCTATACATATTTATCTCTATGAGTACTGCGTGCATACAAATGTAAAAACTCCTTCCTGAGTTTCATTTTGCATTGTTTCTGTGCAAACAGGTTTTTAATCTTTAACATCCGCAGTGAAATTTTGCTCCGGATGTTCCACATCAAAGGTTTAGGGGTAACACTTCACTAAAATATATCGCACACATTATTTCTTCATAACAAATAAATCATCTTTACTTCACTTTACAGTAGAAAACGGTCTCTTACTTTGTGTCTGCAGGTCCAGGTTCACTGTCATTTATGGAAAGGTCTCTCTTCATGGGAAAACAGAGAGATTGTGCACTGTCCTCCTCTTCCTCCATTTTCAGCCAGGCTCACCGGTAACTCAGAAATGCTGAGCATTAGCACAGAATACAAACCACTCTCATGACTGACAAAACAGGAAGTACAACACACACACAGAGAGACTTCAGCAGTGAACTGAGTTGTCAGTCCACTTCCTGAATTAGCACATCATTGTTTTTTCCTCTAGTCCACAGAGACAGCTGACTGAAAGCAGACGAAACATAATGTCGGCTTAAAGCTCACATTCATTTCTTCCTCCTGCTCCGTAGTCTGCAGGGACCTAGATCAATGGAGAAGAGATGCTCCTCCCTTCTCCATTTACAGGAAATCACATGACGTCATCCTGGGTGTGTGTGTGTGTGTGTGAGAGAGAGAGAGAGAGAGAGACATACGAGAATACATAAATATATCATATAATTAGGCTTCTAGATTTATGATTCAAGAACTTTCAGAGCATCAAATCACATCGATCACATTCTCAAAACATACACTTATATGGACAATGATGGTTTATATATAATCTGAGGCCCCCTAATGGTAGACTTCTGGTTTTATCGCCAAAATGAATACTTTCATTTCTAACTGGTAAGTCGAGTGGCATAGTGAGTAAGCGAGCAGGTAGCAACTTGATTCTAATCATGTAGAAGTTAATAGTTAAACATTAATGTAGCTTCATCAGTGAGTGTCAGGGAGACCTTTGGTCCAGCTTGGTTGTACGTCTCTTTTCTTACTATCAAAGACAACAGGCCTAAATTTAACAGCCACTTAAACATTGCTATCAGAGTAATCTAAACTGGGTTAACCCTTAAAGGTCTTTACACTTCAGGTTGGTTGTAAATTTTATGAAAACAAGCTAGCATGGAAGAAATATGATACCACTACGTCACATTTTTTAGAAGGTTTTGGGAAACCTGATTAAAAAGGATTTATAAAAGTCTAGCTCTTGCACATGACATGTTTTTTTGTTTAGGTTCAATGTTTTTAGTAAATTCAACATGGATTCAAAAATCACTCAGATAATAGTAATAATAGTAATAACTTAGTTTAGCACCTTTTAAAAGACCCAAGAATGCTTTACAGAGGAGCAGAAGGTTTTGTTGAAGACGTGAGTTTGAGAAGTTTTTTGAAGGATTCCAGTGACGTTGTGAAGCTGATATGGAAGAGTTGCAGAGGGTGGTGGCCTCCAGCCTGACGACTCTGTTCCCAAAGGTATGGAGGCTGGTGCACGGGACAGAGAGCAGGCCCGTGGCTGAGGACCGTAGCATCCAAGATTGTGTGTATGGTTGCAGCAGATCAGAGAGATACTGAGGGATCAGGGTATTGAGGGGCTTGTAAGAGCATCTTGTAAGTAATGTATGACTTGACAAGAGGACATTTATGAGGGTGGGGATGATATGTTCTCACAGCTGCCCTTCCCTGGGATGTGGGTACTTGCTGGTTCCGGGGCTTGTGGCTGGATGTTCTGGCGCAGTCTTGACCCGCTCCCTTGGTGGTCTGGGACGCTTGTAGCTCATCTTTGTCGCCAGGGGTGGGAGGGCTCTGCCGGGTACTGGGTGGTACTTGTGGGCCTGGAGCCCTGGGACCCTGTACTGGGCTTGCACCAGGGGGGTCGGCCGCCCGTCACCTCTGGGACTCTCACCCTGTGGCCATGGGCGCCCCATTTAGGGCCTCCTTCCTTCTCCTCCTGGGTTGGGCGCACAGATGTTGCTGAGATGTGTGGCCTTGGGGCTTCGGTACTCTTGGGGGCTGCCTTAAGACATTGTCCTGCTATACCATATATAATGTAATAACTGAAATAAGATGAATAGAAATGAATAAATAAACACGTAAAAGAAACAGCTGAACAAGAGGAGCCTATAGAGAATTTATAGAGCTGATCTTGGAAAAATATGTTTGCATTCAGGTCGTAATTCTGATTGCAAACGCTGCCAAACAGGACAGGATTTTTTTAGCTATTTTAATAAGAGCAGTCTCAGTACTGTGGTGAGTTCTAAAGGGTTCAGTGAGCTCATAGAGGTTTATTAAACTTTCTTGGCATGACTTTAGTCAGCATCGTTCCTTCACATTTTTATGCATCCAACAAATACTTTGCATTCAGAAATATTAATTACTGAAAGACTAAACAGGAACCTAATCCACTGACAGTAATGAAACTGTGCATGCAAGCAGTCTTTAACAATCAAAAAAGTTACTGTGTAAACATTAACTGCAGTTCTCAATTATGCCACAGTGTGGCACTCTAACACAGAAAAATTACAGAAAATCAAAGCCTACTCTAGTTTACACTGATTTGAGTGCCGTCTAAATGACTATAAACCGTGTGTCACCATAAGAAGTAATCAGAAGAGCAGTGCTGGTATGATTATTTATACTCTATCAGGTTTATAAAACACAGGGATGATGGTATATTCATCAGGATTCACTGACTTACAGTATATATAATATATTGTTTACACAGATGAATGTTTTATTATCTAAGACAAAGGCTGTGGCTCAAGTTTAAAAGAAAAGTTTGACATTTAAAAGTGTTAAATCATAGCAAACCAGAAGAAAAGAAGTAAGCAGGTCCAAACAAGGACCAACCAGTCCATCATCTATAACCAGGACATCATCGAGAAATGAGTGTAACTAACTACCAGTAAGGGTGGACTCTAATTTAAATACATTTTGAACAGATAAATATTAAATATACTTTCTAAGACAGTTCATCTTTTGTATAGACACATAGTCTGTCGTAGTTCTAAATATGCCTGCTCATTACAAGCAAGCTCAGGAAAAGAGAACAGAATCCCAGATTAGCAGGAGAAACACTCATATGCACAGTTTAAGCACATATATGTGTTTGCATAATGTCTGTGAATAATTCTTATTGAGTCTGCACTTCTTAGGGCAGTTCACACTGAAACACAGTCATTTATACTTCTTTTGATTCCTCTAGAAGTCACTGCTGGTTGAAGTTTTTCTTCTGACTCCATGGCCGAGTCAGGGTATGCTAATGCACAAATTCCTGCTGCTGTTTAAAACTCTCCAGATCATCAGGGCAGAGCTCGTCATAGCTCAGCAGACAACTGTTACCGACAATTCGTGCCAGCTGTAGAGAGAAGAAATAACAGAGGTCATGAATTAGAGTTTACAAGAGTCATAAAAAAAATATGATTACTACATATCAGGCTCTGCGTGTAAAAACAAACAGCGACTAAGTGTAAAGATGAATCTCTGAAATAAGGGAAAAGAGTTTGCAGGCTTCTGTCTGACTGACTTTAAAGAAAAGAGAGAAAAAATCAAATTTGATTGTACAACTATCTGGTCAAAAAGACCCATGTATCTATATCCATATCTATATCTCTTCAAATGTCTTGGCTCCAACACTTCTTTACTTGCTTTAGAAATGAACAGAGGGCCTCTTCACCTCTACCTCCTGAACTCTTGCTCACTGTGTCAGAATTTTAGCTACTTCTCAGCCTCCTTTAGTAATGATGATACTTGTAACAAATATGGTTACAGCTCTGGAGGCCAGGAGCTTGAAAGAGTAGTTGTCAAACAGCTAACTGATCATCTGCAGAGAATTGGCTTCAGTTTCAGTCAGGTTTCAGAGCTCATCACAGCACAAAAACAGCTTTAGTGAAGGTTACAAATGATCTTCTTATGGCCTCTGACAGTGGACTCATCTCTGTGCTTGTCCTGCTAGACCTCAGTGCAGCGTTCGATACTGTTGACCATGATTTATTACTAGAGCGATTAGAACATGCTGTAGGTATTACAGGTACTGCAGTGGTTTGAATCATATCTATCTAACAGACTCCAATTTGTTCATGTAAATGGAGTCTATACATTACATTATACATGCTTCCCTTAAGCCAGGGGTCTGCAACCTTTAACACCCAAAGAGCCATTTGGACCCGGTTTCCACGCAAAAGAAAACACTGGGAGCCGCAAATACTTTTTGACATCTAAAATGAAGATAACACTGTATATATATTGTTTTATACTTTTATGCTTTGTGTGAACAACTAAGGTGTGTTGCTTATGAAATCCATGAAGTGCTACAGAGAAAATTACATTTTATTTATGTAATTAACACATTTTGAACTCTTAAAGAAATATAACAAAAGGAAAGACACTGAACTAAAAGGATCCAGCAAACAAAAACTGTTGTGAGCTGCCACCCTCATATCGCCTTTGTGCTTTTGGAGCCTAGACCTGACTTTTAAAAAATAACTGGGGAAAAAAGCACTATGCTGCTAAAAAAAAATTAGATATTTGCAAAATTCTGCCTAAATATGTATTTTACCTGGTTAATGTGTGTGCCGGGGCGTGGTCTGCAGTATGCGTACAGCAACCGTGTGTGAAAAGTGGTCAATAAAGAGATGCTGAAAAGCATGTTCATGCAAACATCGTCGGGTCTGCCGTGGTATGTTTACAATGGGACTTCTGCTCCTGAACCTCTGCGCACAGCGTCTGCAAATCAGGGCTTTCATCTTTACGCAGGACTGTAAGCTGTCATTAGTGAGGCGTGAGTGGTGTTTGTTTTTAACAGAGTTCACGATGGAGAACAGCTGCTGACATAATGTGGATCCGAAGATCCATAAATGGCCTACCTGGGGTTGAAAGTCTCAATAAATGCACGGCGTTTCGGCAGGTACACCGGCTTCCGCACATGTGACGCTTATTTTGAGCGATGAAAAAATAATAGAATATAATTTGATTTTTATATTTCAATATCACCATAATCTTCCAATTTAGAAGTACAAGTTAAAAAAGAACTAATATAAATAAAATACACTTCAGCTAAATACTTCTAATTTATTTTCCCAAACCACGCTGAGCCGCACTATAAGGACTGAAGAGCCGCATGCGGGACCGGAGCCGCAGGTTGCCGACCCCTGTGTTAAGCAGTATTATTAGAAGACATAGCATACAATTTCACTGCTATGCTGATGACACCCAGCTCTATCTGTCCATGAAGCCAGATAACACACACCAGTTAGTTAAACTGCAGGAATGTCTTAAAGACATAAAGACCTGGATGACCTTTAATTTCCTGCTTCTAAATTTAGATTCAGATAAAACTGAGGTTATTGTACTCGCCCCTGAAAATCTTAGAAATTTGGTATCTAACCAGACTCTTACTCTGGATGGCATTACCTTGGCCTCCGATTTTATATTTAAAAATAAAATCGGAGCCAGAGCCTTCAGCTTTCAGGCACCTCTTCTGTGGAACCAGCTCCCAGTTTGGATTCGGGAGACAGACACTATCTCTACTTTTAAGATTAGGCTTAAAACATTTCTTTTTGATAAAAGCACATTGTTAGGGTTGGATCAGGTGACCCTGAAACCTCCGTTAGTTATTCTGCAATAGGTCCAGTGTTTCACCTTCCCACTGTCACTGAAGTGTTTGCTCATAGGGGGTCATCTGATTTTTGGGGTTTTCTAAGGTCTTTACTAGTGCTGTCAGCGTTATTCTGCAAATTCCCGTTCGGCCCATGCGAGGGTTGCCCGGCGCTAACGCGTTAACAAAGTGCAGCCCTCGCAAGCTTCAGTCTAATCTGCCTGGCTGACTTTCTCGTCCTCTCAAAAAATGATGACTGTTAACAGCTGCCGCTTTACTGAGAAAAGCAGCCAGTGAGGGTTTATAGGAAACACTCGATCTTTGCTCCCATACCAACTGTGTTTTATACAGTAGTGCTAAAAGCAGCATTGACTCAATGCAACTTCCTACTTACCACAGATTCTCCAGTCTGTATTTTGAATTATTCACAAGATTCACCAGCTGAATCATATCTGAATCCTGCAGGCCGTTTCTACTCAGGACCAGCTCTCTCAGGTGGTAGGGGTTTAACTCCAGCGCTGAGCACAGAAAAGTACAACTGGCCTTTGACAAAGAGCACTCCCTTAGTCTGAATAAAGAATAAAATAAAAAGACAATGTTTCTGCTTTAAATATTTCATATAAATAATCAAACATAATAAGTAAAAAAAGAGCTGTCATTATTACTAATCAAATCTTGCTATTTCTGCTGCACAACAAAGACATAATAAAATCAGCTCTCATACACTGTCAGCTCAAGCAGTGACTTCATTTACATGCAGTTGTTCACAGCAAAAAACATATGCACACCCATTTAACTGCCTGTTAACGCTGATTTGCGTAATGCCTAATGGCAGTAACTCAATGCATTTAGGCATGTGGGCATGGTTAAGACAACCTACCTACTTAAGTTCAAATCAAGCAACGAGTAATTTTGAGCATATCAGGATTATTTGAACCACACAGGTGGTTCTGAGTGTTTTAGAAACTACTGATCTGATTTTCCCACAAAACCATCTTTAGGGTTTACAGAGAATAGACACAAAAGCAACAAGTTCTCTGAGTGAAAATCTCTTATTGATGCAAGATGGAAAATGGCCGAACTGTTTTGGGCCTCTAAATGCACAACATGTTGAACCTTAAAACAGTTGGGCTACAGAAGCAGAAGAACACAGTGGGTGCCACATGTAGCAGCTAACAACATGAAAGGGTTGGGGACCACCAAAAGTGGACAATAGAAGAGCTGATAAACAATTGCCTTGTCTGATGTGTCTCGATTTCTGCTGCAACATTCTAAATGCAGTCAGAATTTGGCATAAACAAACTGCAGATCCGTTGTGTCTTGTATTAGGGACAGATAAAAGAAGATATTTGAACATGACTTTTTGTGAATTGAACCCGTAAGATCATCATTACATTCTGAGAACACAGTTTAATATGAAAACACAGCTGACCTCAGAGTTTCCAACTGACTGTGTTGCCACTCCAGAAAACCACACAACTGCTTTACTCCAGAATCCTGCAGCTTGTTGTAACTCAGATCCAGATGTCTCAAACGGGAGGGGTTGGAGAGCTTCAGAGCTGAGCTCAGAGTAGCACAGCTAATCTCTGACAATCCACAGTGCCACAGTCTGAATAACAAAAGAAGAAAGAAAAAGACAGATACAATTATTTCTGACCTAATGACATGCTCAGGTTTTAAACGTAGTGCCACATCACTTTATAGTATGTAATGCACAGATATAAAACTAATTCAGGGAAAAGGTATCATAAAAAAAATTCACTAACTGAAATAATGAGACTTAGCATTTCTCTAATGATGGTCTTGTATCTTGCAGGCATTCAGTGATGATTAGATTGGATTACTTTTTAATTCCTCCTATCTATGTAGGATCGGTAAACCCTAGCAGGTATGATTACTAAGCTTTGGCTAAAATTTCACTGGTAGATGCTTCCAAACAATTTTCCCCCCATTAAGAGCAGTCTGTTACATATTTTAGCTAGTCTGAAATGGTACAAAATGGTGTTGTTCACTTTCTAAGCACAGAAAAGGATACTAACCAAAGCAAGGTTTTAAGGTTCTTTCTTACTTAGTGTACTTTTTATGTACTTTTTTGTTTAGGAAAATCCTGAAAATGTATATCCAAATTTATGAAGTAAATGTATTAAAAACAACAACAACGGTTAGGGTACTGACTTCAGGATCTCCAGTTTGCAGTGTGGACTCTCCAGTCCTACAGAGAGCAGTTTCAGTCCCGAGTCCTCCAGCTCATTGAAGGTCAGATCTAACTCTATCAGATGGGAGGAATTGGACTTCAGGGCTGAGGCCAAGACTTCACAGTGAGTCTTTGAAATTCCACAGTCAGAAAGTCTGTGATAAGACAAATTTGCAAAAGACATTATCATGGAAGAAGATACTACATATTTATTTTTGCTTTTGCATTTAACATCAAAACAGTTGAGCATATCTTGTTCAATCAGGGAACCCATCAGCGAAAAGCCTTTTGGGAACAACAGCCAATTTGGGGGCTTTCCAGTGTAGCTGGCTGATATCTAGACCAAGAAGCATTCTGAGTAGAGATGTCAAGACTTTTGATCATCCAGGGCACCTCTTTCAATTTAACAGCTGCTCTGAAAGAAAGCCCAGCCACACCTCATAGAAAAATCATTGCTACCACTTGTATCTGCAACATCATCCATTCGGTCCGAGCTTGTCACCATAGGTGAGAGTAGGAATGAGAGTAGGATGCAGCAGCGTGTGCTGCACTGACTGCCAGCTAGAGTGAATGGCCCAAAATTTGTGTTGCGCTGACTACTGCACTCGACTTGTATGTCATTTTTTTGTGCTCACTCTATGTGTACCAGATGTGCCTGCTCTGTGTCATTTCAAAACATTGATCTCTCATCCATAAAAGGCAAAACATTGTAAGTATCCCAACTAGAGAAGAGTATGTCGTTTCCACAACAGTGCTTTCCTCCACATAGCTGTTGAATGGAGTGACTTACTCAATGGCTCCAGGAGGTCCCTATATATGTATGTAAACATGTGTCATAGAGTTCCTCGTTCATTGTGTGATTGAGGTTAGTGTGACTGTAGGCTTCGTTTCTCTTGGTTGTGCAAAGATATGTCACATGTATAGCGGTTAAAGTTCAGCTGGGTTGAACTTTGACCACAGCATGTGCGAGTACTCTTGTGCAATAGAAAAGAATAGGTTTTGGAGTACAGCGCTGCACATGCCGCGTCCTATGTGAAAGGGCCTTTAGACTTACAGAGCCTTTCTGCAGTTCCTCACGGCTGGGATCAGTCTCTGTCGCCCTGCCTCTGATGTGTTGTACTTGTTCAGGTCCAATTCATCCAGAACTTCTGACATTTGCAGCATGTAGGCCAGAGCTGAGCAGTGGATTTCATAGAGTCTCTTCTCTGATCTGTTCTCTGAGTTAAGGAACTCTTGGATCTCCTGATGTACTGAGAGGTCATTCATCTCCATCAGACAGTGGAAAATGTTAATGCTTCTGTCGGGAGATATTTTATCACT